TGGGGATGGTCCTGCTTTGAGCAGGAGGTTGGACTAGATGGTCTCCTGAGGTCCCTTCTAACCCTAATTTTCTATGATTCCTATGACTGCACTCTTCTTTCCAGTAATGGAAAGAACTACAGGAATCACACTTAAATTCTGAATGTTCCAGAAAACAGAATAATCTTTCAAGGATGACTTACATGTGATAGCATCTGTAGACCGCATTCTTCTGTGCACCCAGAACAGTGCCTATTCTCTTAAATAGGCATACACAGATAAGATGAAATCGAAGTCTGAGGGGAGAGCCTTCAAGGACTGAGCTAGCCCATGTTCTGAGAAATGCCACTAGCAGGGAGCCAGGCTCCTGTTAATTTAAGGGGAAGGTGCAGTAGGCTAACCTTGTGGTATAGGCAGGCAACTAGCAGGAGCTACCTGCTCTGCAACAAGCTGGCTGTGTGGGGCAGAGTCCAGGCAGCCTGAGGATAAAGGCCATAAGCAGCTGGGTTGAGCTGCAGCAGAGTGGGGCAGGCTGACAATTAAGCCCAAAGGGAAACCCCTGTGCCTGACTTGGCGGTCACCTGACCTGAAGGAGCAGTGCTTCAGAGCATGTAAGCCTGGCACCAGAAGCAATGTGGGCAGCCTTACTCCTGTGTGCTACAGGGAGCAGAGCTCCAGGGAGATAGGGGCTGAAAGAGGCAGCCTGGCAAGCACCCAAGCCACCCATGGGAGCAAGGAGATGAGAGCCCAAAAGGGTGGGAGGGCTTGTAAGAAGGCATAAACCTGAGATTTTTGTTGAAAGTGGTTACTTGTATTTGTATTGCATTTGAGTTGGAACCAGAGGACCAGGTTGTGGCTATGGGAGCAGCAGGAAGGCCACAGTGGTGCTGAAGAGGTACCCTGCATAGAGCCCTGTATGGGTCAGAGACCATAAGGGGGCTGAGCAGCACCAGAACCACCTGGCCTGGGGAAGCTGGCGGGGGGGCATAAGCAGCCTTATCCAAGTCAGGGATCCCAGAGGTAAAAAGAAAAGCCTTCCCTGGGTCTGGGACCCCAGGAGACCCAGAGCCTAAGGGCCAGGGGGCCCAGAGCATGTGAGAGACAGGGGCCAAGAAACTGACATACAGAGAGGGTTGAGGCCAAGAAAGCCAGACCAGAATAAGTGGGCCACAGCTGGAGGCCAACAGCCAGAATAATGGTGGGCTAAAGCCAAGAGGGCAGAATCCCCTATGGGAGGCCATGGTTATTGCCCCAAAGGCAACTTATGCTCTAGGACACAGATAAGAACAGGACACTCCTGGGGCCTCAGTTGTACTACAGTTGCCTTCATGGTTAGTATCTGAACCCCCTGGCTCGCATACAAGTCTTGTCATTAAAAAGAATGTTTCAACCAAAAGTTAAAATAACTAAATGTGACTTTTTTTTTAAGTGGGTGATCATCCAGCTGGCATGGAGATTGATTCTTGGCTCCAGGACAGCCCACTGCAATTGTTAAACAATTGTTTGGGTGGAGAGGGTGTTATTACCAGCTCTGAATTTAGCAAACAAGAAACTGTGTAGGGTTTTAACAAATTAAGGATTGTAAAAGAATATCTAACTCTTTTCCCCCAAGGTTGCACGCCTTTGATGCATGCCATTTCAGGACGCCAAGTTGATACTGTGAAGCTGCTGTTGAAGATGGGAGCAAACATTAATACTCAAGATGCCTGTGGACGCACAAGTTTATCTTTGGCAACTTATCTGGTACCAAGAGTTTTATGGAAAACATTTGGGGACAAGAGGGCTGTGTGGGTGTGTGAAATAAAAGATGATTTTTTTAATATTGTCACCAGAAGAGAGTGAGTACAACACTTGTACAGTTCTGAGCTTCAGTGAAAATATGAACCCCATACCCTCAATGGCAAGTCTAGCAGCAAGAAAAGGATGGTGGTTTCTTTAAGATTTCCCTTTATTTTTGGTGTTAGGTGACATGGAAGGGCTGGAAGAATGTAGCTCCTGAGCTGCGAGCTGACTGGAGGGGCTCAGGGAAGCCACTCTTCTACATTCTGCCTTGCCAGATGGAGTCTTCTCTCATGTCCTTACACCAGAGAGACCTGGCTAGATGGACCAGGAGTTGGGTAGCACACTGGGACACAATCCTTTAACCTTAAAACAAGTTTAAGAGAATTCGGCAGCAAGCTAAGACCACATTTAGCAGGATGGAAGGGCTTACTGCCATCCTTCCTAATTAGGTGCAAACATGGAACAATGGCATGCACTATATGGTATAATTTATTACTGGATAACAGCCAGAGAATCTGTTAGTAAAGTCACTGCCTAATTTCATCACATCCCTTTCCTTTTATCTTCCTGCATACTTAGAACAAAAACAAAGCTTCAGTTTACCTGTGATATTTTCATCTAGAAAGATGTGTGTAGAATATAGCAAAATGGACAGCCCATTCAAATGTACTGCACAAGCACATCACATTCAAAAATCAGCATTTCCTTTGCCAAATATGTAAAAAAAAATGTCATGATTAGAAGCCATGCTCCTTTCTTTCTTCTTTCCGCAAAGGGGAAAAATAATTCTTTGAAAAAAATAAATGATTGGAAAACATTTGGGTTTCTCAGGCCTCCTGGCTTCATCACTGCCATTTCTGCTTCCAGGCTGTCTTTGGTGTGAGATCTAGAAAGAATCTGAAGCACATGCCATCCCAGACTGTTAACTTCAATGTGCAGCCAAGTGCAGACCTTAGTCCTATGTTCCTCTCACAAACTTCCCTGCAACCAAATTGTAACTGGTAGACAACCCAAGGAGACTGCACTTCCATCTTTCTACCCACTCCCTTTATCAATACTGAGCAGTCTAACTTGACTTGTATAGGACTGATCATTCTTTGTAGGTTCTTCACCAGGGCCTTGATTTGAGGAAAGCACTTAAGCGTATGCTCGGCTTCCCTGGGATTCAGGCTCATCTCAAATTCTAGGGCTCTTACTATTTAATATCAGTGCTAGCCTCTTATAAAGAAGTTAAGATCAAATGTTCAGGCTCACATCTTAATCTGACTTAATTAGCACCATATGTGGCCAGATGAGCAACACTTGCTAATGATGCAGAAATGAGCAGTGTTTTAATCACTATGTTTATATCTCCCTCCTGCCACAGCTGCAGAAAGGCCAAAAAGCAGTACGATGAAAAAGCTTAATTACAAAAATGAAATACCAGGGACTTAATAGGAACTAATCCTGAACCCCCTTTGAAGCTCAAAAAAGATGTTTTCCTGCAAAAAAAAGGGGGCCAAATCTTTGGCACGTAGTCCATATCAAAGTCAATGGTACTACAGCCTTACACACTAAATGAGATTCTGGCCCTGAATCTTCCAGTTACCTCATTAACATTATCCATTTTCCTTTTAGGGCTGGCTCGAATGCTGCGTCAGCCTGCTTAGAAATGGTGCTAAGCAGAACATACCTGATAAAAACGGAAGGTTGCCACTGCATGCTGCTACTGCGGACCTTGACGTGAGGTGTGTCCCCCACCTTCAAACAATGTTTGCTTGTAAAAAAGAAAAAGCCTAGAGGTGCAGTGCATGGTTAGCAGAACCGAAAGAGAGTGCCTTATCTGGAAGCACCATGGGGTGAGGTTAGTTGTGACAGTTACACTTGTGACTTGCTCTTTTATTTGGTAATTACCCCTCAGGTAAATGAAGGGTAGGGCTCTAGAGCTATACACAGTGGGGCCATCTACATCAGTTATTTACTGTGGAGCTGACTTATTAGCTCTGCAGTAAAGTGTCAGCATCTATACACATGGAGCTGTTAGGCTGGAGTAAACTAATTAACTCTTCTGTAGGATAGTACTGACCAACACAAGTACTATCCTATGGTGGAGTTATTTACTTCACCACAACGCTCATGTAGACACTGACCGGGGCTGGCTGGGGCATGAGGGTGCTACAGTGTGGGGCTGCCTATTGGTTAGCCCCACACTGCACCCTTGTGCCACAGCCACTTCCTTTGCAGCACAT